TTTATATGGGCGTATCGTTGATGTTTTCGAAAAAGGTAAGGTGGAGATATGTTATGACTTTAAGAGCTTTTTATGATGTTATATTATTATTGTTTAAATCAGATTGAAATATATTTTATTTAGGTTTTGTGTATCTTTTTTGTCATTTATTGCGTTGGTGTTTCTTTTTATTTCTATTGATTCGTATATCTCCCTCTTCTTTTTGTTTTTTTCTGTTTTTAAAATTCTGATGTTTTCAAAATCAAATTTATGCTTCTTCCCGCTTTCATGTTTTGTGAGCGCAGTGACGTTGTTCTTGTCGTATTTGTGAGAACGAATTCTGGATTGAAGCAGTTGACTGGTTTGACCGATATAGACACCTTCACAGTTAGTACATGGTATCTCGTAAACAACATGTGATTTTTTAAGTTTTGGAGTTTGTGTTTTTAGTTTTGTGAAATATTTATTTAAGAGATTGTTGCCTTTGTGGGCCACTGTTATATTATGTTTGGCTAAAAGATTTGTTAGTTGTTCGGATAAACCTTTTATATATGGAAGAGTTGTATAAGTGGTTTTGATACTGTTGGGTTTGTTGTTAGTTGTATTGTTATAAAATTTATTGAGTCTTGATTTGAAAATAGTTTCGATTAGATGTTCGGGATATGCATTCTTTAGGAGGGCATTTTTTGCTTTTTTTATTGCAGTTGGTCTGTATTCTGGATCTGTTAGTTTTATAGATTTATCAGCGAGACTTATAATTACAGACTTCTTATGGGAAAATGGATGATGGGAATTGTAGTTAAGATATCGTGAAGACCATGTTTCTTTTGTAAACCACATAGTTTTAACTGTATTGTTAATGCGATGTAAGGTGACATCCAGAAAGTTTATTTTATAATTTTGTTCAATTTCTATAGTGAACTTTAATTTTGGATGGTAACTGTTGAAAATATCTAAAATTTCGGTTGTTTTATTTGTTGGAATAGCACAGACACAGTCATCGATATAGCGGTAGAAGAATGGTACATTAAAATCTAAGTGACTCATGACAGATTCTTCTAAGTCTTCCAGAACCAGTTGGGCAATGACACTAGATATACTTGCACCCATTGCGCATCCATCCATTTGTTGGTATATTTCGTCTTTATATAAAAAGTATGTTGAGTTTAACGTTAACTCTACAGATGATTGGAATTCTTGCAGTGGGATGTTAGTGTATTCTTTTATGTCATTCCATTTCTTTTTAATGATGTCAGTGGCAAGTTTTATTGGGATGTTAGTGTATAGTGAAATGACATCTAAAGAGATTAATTTATAGTTATTCGGTATGTGAATGTTTTTAATTTTAGAAATAAGATCATTGGAATCTTTAATATAATAAGGATTTTTATTGATGACATTAGAGATAATGTTTTTCAAGAACTTTGAAAGATTTTCGAAGGGTGATTGAATGCAGGAAACGATAGGACGTAGAGGTATGTTCTCCTTGTGTGTTTTAGGTAAACCATAAATTTTTGGTGGAATAGCGTTGTGTATCTTAAGTGATTTTGCTGTATTTGGTGATATATATCCACTTTTGTCCCATCTATCAATAAGAGCATTATTTCTTTTTTGGAAGATATTGGTAGAATCATTTCTAAGTTTATGATATATGGTGTCATCTTTTAAAAGATCATTCATTTTATTGTCGTAATCATTAGATGCCATAATAACGGTTTTGTTAGTTTTATCAGGCTTTAATACAACTACATTAGGATTTTCCCTCAAAAAGGCTTTTGTCTTTTGAATTTTTTTATGTAATTCTTTATTTTCAAATGAATATTTATTTTTGTTTCTAAAATTGGATAAGATATTACAGCACTATTGTTCTTATTTGATGTTGTGAATTTTCATTTAAATTAGAAATTGAATTTTCAATCGAACATATAATATCAGATACAGGAATTTCGTTTTTATTGTGAATAGGAACTGCAAAGTTGTCTCCTAAACTTAAAATCTCCTGTACGTCGTTAGGTATTTCAACGGTAGTTAAATTTTCGACCCAAGATCTTTCTAATTTATTTTCAGTATCATTTGATTTTAAAAGTAATTTATTAATCATTTTGGTGTTCCTATTTTTAGTTTTGTTAAAAATATATTCACTTTGTTTTAAACACATATTCTTAAATGTATTAAAAATATCTGGTGGTAGTATATTGATTAAATTTGATTCAATTTTATTGAGTTGACAGTTTAGCTTTTTTAATGAGATAACAGTATCAGTGATTAGTAAATTTTAAAACTTGTTTCACAAACAAATTAAAAACATTTGTCTCGAATTTACGTGTAAGGTTTACAGAATTAAAATTGATATGGCTAATATTTATGTTTAAAAAGTTTGGTAGTAAATTACAAGTTTTACAGCGTAAAAGAAAAATTCTCCGGTTTTTTTTGGTTGGCTTGTTTTGCTAGTAATTTCTGGTATAATTTCATTTGTAGAACGGTTGATCGTCCGTAGTTAAATTCAATACTACGGTAGTAAGGCATATTTTCACCCATGCCAATATATTGTAGTTTTGAGTTTCTTGAACCGTATTATATTTAATATAAAATTAATGTTTCTTGGGGTTAGGTTCAATAAAGATATGTTAACGAATAACTATAAATTAATCTCTTTAGATGTCATTTCACTATACACTAACATCCCAATAAAACTTGCCACTGACATCATTAAAAAGAAATGGAATGACATAAAAGAATACACTAACATCCCACTGCAAGAATTCCAATCATCTGTAGAGTTAACGTTAAACTCAACATACTTTTTATATAAAGACGAAATATACCAACAAATGGATGGATGCGCAATGGGTGCAAGTATATCTAGTGTCATTGCCCAACTGGTTCTGGAAGACTTAGAAGAATCTGTCATGAGTCACTTAGATTTTAATGTACCATTCTTCTACCGCTATATCGATGACTGTGTCTGTGCTATTCCAACAAATAAAACAACCGAAATTTTAGATATTTTCAACAGTTACCATCCAAAATTAAAGTTCACTATAGAAATTGAACAAAATTATAAAATAAACTTTCTGGATGTCACCTTACATCGCATTAACAATACAGTTAAAACTATGTGGTTTACAAAAGAAACATGGTCTTCACGATATCTTAACTACAATTCCCATCATCCATTTTCCCATAAGAAGTCTGTAATTATAAGTCTCGCTGATAAATCTATAAAACTAACAGATCCAGAATACAGACCAACTGCAATAAAAAAAGCAAAAAATGCCCTCCTAAAGAATGCATATCCCGAACATCTAATCGAAACTATTTTCAAATCAAGACTCAATAAATTTTATAACAATACAACTAACAACAAACCCAACAGTATCAAAACCACTTATACAACTCTTCCATATATAAAAGGTTTATCTGAACAACTAACAAATCTTTTAGCCAAACATAATATAACAGTGGCCCACAAAGGCAACAATCTCTTAAATAAATATTTCACAAAACTAAAAACACAAACTCCAAAACTTAAAAAATCACATGTTGTTTACGAGATACCATGTACTAACTGTGAAGGTGTCTATATCGGTCAAACCAGTCAACTGCTTCAATCCAGAATTCGTTCTCACAAATACGACAAGAACAACGTCACTGCGCTCACAAAACATGAAAGCGGGAAGAAGCATAAATTTGATTTTGAAAACATCAGAATTTTAAAAACAGAAAAAAACAAAAAGAAGAGGGAGATATACGAATCAATAGAAATAAAAAGAAACACCAACGCAATAAATGACAAAAAAGATACACAAAACCTAAATAAAATATATTTCAATCTGATTTAAACAATAATAATATAACATCATAAAAAGCTCTTAAAGTCATAACATATCTCCACCTTACCTTTTTCGAAAACATCAACGATACGCCCATATAAAAATAATTATATGCTAATGACAGTAAACAATGAGGTATCAGATATCAACTTTTATATGTCAGTTCGTTAATGTCTGTGTCACGTTTTACGTTTTGGTAAGTCATATATATATATATATATATATATATATATATATATATATATATATATATATATATACATATTTTACAATATCTGTTTGTCCTTATATATATATACATTTTAGAATCTTGACAAAGGCAAGGGTTTCCTGCCGAAACGTTGATTGATTACAATGGAAAATAAAATCTAGTTCCACATGTAACATATCTTTATTGAACCTAAACCCAAGAAACATTAATTTTATATTAATATATATATATATATATATATATATATATATATATATATATACATATACATATACATATACATATATATATATATATATATATATATATATATATATATACATATACATATATATATATATATATATATATATATATATATATATATATATATAATACTTACTTATGTTTTTTTTATTATTTTATTATGTTATTTAAGTTGATAGTAATAAAAGATATCAATTCTAGAAGCGGTAATCGCTTTAATCATCCATTTTATTCTAGCAGTGCTACTATGTATTTTAATTGATTGGTCTAAGCAGATGGAACTTTTTACTTACTAATTGACATTTTAAGAAACTCCATTTTATTATACGATTTGCCACAAAGTACAATGTATAAGAAATGCCCAACTTCATGATTCACCAAAAATTTATTGGGTATAAGCATTTTGAAAGGTTTGGCCTGTATATTTCTACTTTTTTGTAACAGTTTAATTACAGTAAGTGATGCACTTGAAAAAGTTAATGATACTGATTAAACAAACTAACCACAAAAATGTATATTTAGTTGTTTCATTTATCAAAGGTCCTCCTAGCAATCATGTCGTTCACGTCTATTTGTCAATGTATCCGTATCTGTGCGATACCTCTTGAAAAAGTCTTAGAATTTTGAAAATATTGATTTTATTATTTTCATGACTTACATTATTTGTTGAGGGTTGTCCAGTAGAAGTGTTTATGAGTAGTTTCTAGGGTCATTAAATTAAATAAATGAAATTGATTAATTAGAAAATGTTATTATCTTTATTAGAAAATAATAAAAAAAAAACAGTCTTAGATTAAATCTTATACACCAAATTGCACAATATATTTCGAAGCCTTGCAGGTGAAGGTACTCTTGTGATCATCGTAAGCATAGCTGTAAGCATCTGGGCATTGAGATTTAAAAACTTCCTGAGGATAGTTACGTGGCCAGGTTGAACTCTTGCAAGTTTCGGGTGTTCCGAAAGCACCTCTACAACAGTACTGGTCTGTATTAAAGGCAAGACAAGCTGATTTACATGCTATGGCGAATCCATTTGGTCCCATTACTTTGAGTTCATTGGGACAGCCATCGTTGAGATGTCTAAGGCACTGAGCTCTTTTACAACTGTATTGACCACCATCTCCTTGGCCTCCTACAGGTTCAAACTAGAAAATTAAAATATTTTATAAGTTATTTGTTTAACAACAAACATATTGCAAATTAATTAATTTATTTATGAAAATAATTTGGCAAATAACACTAAATATTTTGACAGAGAAATGCCACACATATTTAAATGTAAATGCCCTGACAACCATATAAGTAAGATATTGCCTGTGTTGCCTAGGTGAGCCTATGTGATTTTCCGAGTTTGACTTTGTATCAGCCCCGGTGTCTGATGAAGTAGGAATGCTGAAATGACTCATAATACTTTATTGATACTGATTTGAGCACGGGAAGTTTAACAAATTTGTCCTCCTAGGCCATATATTTGGCCACTTATTTCAACAAAGCGATAGCAGCTTTTGCTAAAAGATTTAATCTTTTACACTTATTTTTTACATCTTACATCTTATTTCGCAGAGCCGAGAAGACAGAAAACGATACTATAAATCGTTTTCGTTCATGGCCACTAAAGCAGGTGGCACCTCTGTATGGTAACCAATGCAGTGGTCAACTTTTAGGAGGCATTCGTTGGACTTTCCGAGTTTGAATTTGTATTATCCCGAGTGTCTGATGACGCAGGCATGCTGAAATGAGTCATAACAGTCTAGTGACACCGATTCGAGCACGGGAAGTTTAACAAATTTGTCCTTCTACGGCATATATTTGGCCACTTAATTCAACAAAGCGATAGCAGCTTTTGCTAAAAAATGTAATCTTTTACACTTATTTCTTACATCTTACATCTTATTTCGCATAGCCGAGAAGACAGAAAACGATACTAGTAAATCGTTTTTTTTATATATAAATTATCCTCCTAAATAAATTTATCCTCCTAGGTTATATATTTGGCCATTTATTTCAACAAAGCCATAGCAGCTTCCGCTAAAAGATCTAATCTTTTACACATTTTGCATAGCCCATAAGACAAAAAACGATATTAATAAATCGTTTTCGTTCATGGCCACTAAAGCAGGCGGCACCTCTGTATGCTAACCACTGCAGTGGTCAACATTTAGGAGACATTCGTTACACTTTCCGAGTTTAAATTTGTATCATCCCGAGTGTCTGATGACGCAGGGATGCTGAAATGAGTCATAACAGTTTAGTGATACCGATTCGAGCACGGGAAGTTTAACGAATTTGTCCTCCTAGGCCATATACTTGGCCATTTAATTCAACTTTTTTTGTGTCTTTGAGTCTTTGTGTTATATTCATTAATTTTCCTCTATCGTACATTCTTCTTATTGCTTTCCATAGGTATTTTCGGGACACGCTATCGTATCCTTCAAATCGAAGGTCATATGTGTCTCAATATTTTTCTCTTTGTTTGCTTTATTATCTTTTGTCTCATGAAGACTATATTATCTATACATGATCTATCTTTTCGAAATCTCGCTTATTCTGCGTTATACTGGCCCATACGTTGTTTATATTTTTTCTTCTATAACCGTGGAAAAGATTCTAGCTGTTAAAAGAATTAAACTAATTCCTGTATAATAATTTGTTGATCTTTTATCATCTTTTTTGACAATTGTATGATAGATTTCACTTATCTGTAATTTTTCTTCTTGCTTCGATTTTATTCAACAATACTCGCAAAAAGGATTAAATCCTTGAGCCTCCATACTTCAGCATACCTCCATTTTTATGTTCCCTGATCCTGGTACTCTGTTGTTTTAGCTTCTCCTCTTTATTTAATTTTCTTAATTTTAGAAATAGTTTATTCTAAAATCTATCAATACTGAATTGTGATCACTGTGATTGTCTATTTCAAGGTATCTTTTAGTAGATTATAATATGTATTTCTTAGAGTTGTATCGGACAAAGTGAAGTCAATTTGACTCCTAACAATTATATCTTTTCTGTACGCAAGTTATTTCCACTTGTAACTTCTGGAAAATTGTTTGAAGAAGGTGTTGGCTATTAGAAGGTATTGTCTACGCATAATTAATTGTACCAGTCTACCTGTTTGTTGTTACTAGTATAAAGACCATATGGTCCTATGTTGTATTCTTTAGCGCTACGACTAATTTTAGCGTTGAAGTAACACACTATCATCGTTATCTCGTTAATTTTTGTCAGTGGCTTTATTTATTCTATAATATTATAAAATGCTTTGATTCTCATACAGTTAGATATATTAATTCTAGTAATCTAGATTATGCATAAAAAATTATGTTTTAAATACTTTATCTTTTTATACTTACACTAATAGCGATGTTATATCCATCAACGAAAGAAATATCGTAGAAATCAAGTCCTCCAGCTCCTTTCATTGTAATTTCAGCTAGAGAAGCGGGTGGTACTCCTCCAGCTCCATTACATTGTACTCTATTACCACAATCACCTGTTAAGCAATGGTTTGAACCATCGTCACACCAAGTTCTGCCCCAGAAACGTCCAGCCCAGTTATCGGGAGCTCCAATTGTTCTCTGCAAAATAAAGAATAGACTTTTAATATTTAACAATACTATAAAGGTAACTGTCTCAAAATGGTTCGAAAAATTGTAAAAAATAAATTTGACGGTTTGTGATGTCCAAACGAATGCCAAGAAAAATGGGAAAAAAAGGGAAAAATTTTAAAAAGAAGGACAAGAAAATAGGGTTGACCAAGATTTTTCAATTTTAAGGTCATTAAAGAAAGGGAAATTATCTGTAATAAAATCTGGGGCAAAGGCATATACACAAGATTCTAAAATATCATAATGTAGAAAAACAATTGGGAAAGATTTTACTTGACCGAAAAGAGAAAATTTCTATTCATGCATGACAGAGCAACAACAGATGCAATTTGTGTTTGAAAGGTATTTAATTAAAAGGAAAACACATGAAGATAAAAAAAAAACAAACGCTTATGTAATAATTTTAATATCTTGAGGAAGCAAATGATTAACATGATAAACACTGTATTAAAAGCAAAAAGAGATGTTAATAAATATCTTTATTTATTATTTCTCAGTTTAACTGTATTCAGGGTAACAAAATGCCTTGAATTCGAAGACACCAAAATTACCAACATGTTAGCGATTTTAACACGAGTAGAATTATTGCATATGGAGATATGGGTTTGTCGTATCGCGAAATTGGCCGTCGTGTTAATTGTACGGCAATAACGGTTATGCGTGTCTTTGGTGTGTGGAGATATAAAGGTAGAGAAATATGAAGAAGACCAACTGGTCAACCCAGGCTTACAAAAGATCGTCAAGATAGGCGCTTTAGATTACTGATTCTGCGAGACCGTTTTGCTACTACGTGTCAAATTGCTGACGAATGGTTTGGAGTAGTAGATAGACTTGTTAGTATGCGTACACTATACCGTCTCACTTGAGCCTTTGGACTGATTTCATTCCACCCACGACTAGTGCTTCCTTTGACTGCGACCCACTGTCATCAACGTTTGAATTGGTGGAGAGAATGGCAGCATTGGGTGGCCGAATAGCGTAATGTAGCATTCAGCAATGAATCACGATTCTGTTTAGAAACCCATGATGGTCGTAGGATGGTAAGACGCCGCCGTGGAAAGCGACGAGATATCGGGTTTGCTGTTAAGAGGCATGTACACAGGACAGTTGGAGTAATGGCTATTGTCTACTAAGATTCCTAATCCAGAATAATTTATTGAACATGAACAGCTTTTTTTACAAAAAGATGTACAGAAGATGGATCTGGGAGAGTCCAAACGCTAGAAAAACGAACAAAATCAACTACATTATAAGTGGCAAAAAACAAATAATTAAAAATGCAACAGTACTCTACAAGTTCACCACAAGCAATAACTACAGAATAATACGAACGAAAGTATAAATCTACACAAAAAGAGAAAGAAACATAATGAATAAAAATAAATCTCAAGATATCTGGACACCCCCCCCCACTCTGGATATCAACCAATATCCGGCACATATCAGTAATAAGCTACTACTGCATGAAAACATCGAGAACGATCTTAACGACTTGAATAATTGTATCATAAACACTATCATAACACATGAAATAATATTACGTAGAGACGAGTTAATACAGGTCGTCAAAAAGTTTTACGAGGACTTATATGGAAGTAGATGAGAGGTTCAAACAGACCTATCCTTATCAGGAATATAAAAAGGAATATATAAACAGAAATAAGATGAGATTCGACAAGCGTTAAGAAAAATGAAAAATAACAAAGCTTCAGGAGAGGATGGAATTTTAATAAAAGCTATCGTAAATGGTGGAGATATGCTATTAAATCAATTAAGGAAACTGTTTATTTTATGTTTGTAGCAAAAAGAGGTACCCAAAGAATAGAACAATACTATGATCATCCTTTTACATAACAAGGAAATACAACGGACCTAGAAAGTTATAGAAATTATTAGCCTGTTGAACCACATATACAAGCCCTCCACTAAGTTAGTGACATCAAAATTGGAGAAAAAATTAGATTTTTACCAACCAAGTGAGCAGGCAGGATTCTAATCAAATCATGGTACCAATAATCACCTCCATACAGTAAAGACGCTCGTTGAAAAATCTATAGAATACAACAATTCTCTTGTCCTCACTTTCAGATTTTCATAAAGCGCTCGACACGATCGAAATAGACAGCCTTATAGAACAATGAATCACAACAAGATTGACCATAGGTATAGTGAACTTATTTACAATATTTACAAAAATGACACTATGACTATTAAGATGCACGATAAAACCCGACCAATAAAAATAAAACGTGGGATAAGGCAAGGAGATACATTGTCCCCGAAATTATTCATAACGGCATTAGAGTATTCCTTTTAGATGGTCAATTAAGTCCACAGAGGAGTAAAACTAGACAGGGAAAAATTGAACCATCTATGTTTCGCAGATGACATTGTCCTTATCACAGATAATTTAGGACAAGCCACAGATATGTTAAATGAATTGGACTTTGCATGTTCGAAGGTGGGCCTCAGAATGAACTTGACCAAAACTTAATTTATGACAAATTTGATCCCCAATAACCATTTAACTATTCCAAACAAAGTGCTGGTGGAGAAATATACACATTTGCGCTATTTCGAAACTAAAATGGAATTGGGCAAGCCATTTTGCGAGAATGACTGACTCACGATGGTTGAGCAAAATTACACATTGGAAGTCCAGAGCAAACAATCATAGTAGCGGAAGACCACCTACACATTGGGCTGACGGCATAACAGCACAAAATCTAAAACAATGGAGGGGTTTAAGGGAGGCCTATGTCCAGCAGTAGACATAATAAATGAAGGCTGGATGATGATCACTCACATTTTTGTACTCACATTTTGTGTCACATGCTATATTAAAATTAAAATTAATGTATTTTTGTAAGTGCGCCTATGTACCTAACTATTTATGTTTATACATTTGTTAAACATTTATTTGTTCAAAAAAATATTTTTTAAAGTCTCACGCACAAAGGGTGCTACTTTTATGGTAGCTCTACTTTAGTGAGTTTTTATGTTTATGTAGTATTATCTAGTATTTTAAAAAATCAAATTAATTTACATTTTGAATCTAATAAATTGTTTGCCATAAACCAGTACGGATTCCGAAAAAATAAAGCAACAACTTTAGCTATTGATAATTTCACTAGCAATATTTCGGAAGGGTTTGAAAAATATCGTGATACTCTTGCATCGTTTTTAAAACTTACTTAGGCTTTCGATTTTGTCACACATAGTATTCTGACTAATTAATTCATAGCTATCAAATCGTGATCAATATGTTGACTTCAACCAGTGTGGTTCTCCAAAAAATCTCTGTTGTTTGGTGTCCCTTAAGGCTTGGTTTTGGGTCCAGTATTATTTCTTATCTATATTAATGATCTAGTGTTCTCTTAAAAAGAAACAGTTCACACTGTTTTATTTGCCGATGATACTACTTTTTATGTAAGCTATTACCCTTCAGAATTTGACACCATTGATTACCAAACATCTGAATAAAACTTATTCAATTGGTTTTTAACTAACCGTCTTTCTTTGAACAACTCTTTATCACAAAGTGTTAATATTACTTTAAGAAAATATGCTACGAAACTTTATCGGAACTCATTGAAAATATAAATAGCCACAAAGAAATTGTGTTGTTGGGAGATTTTAACGCTTGAATAGGAACAAAAACAAATGACAAAGTCGTAGGAAAATATGGTGACGCTAAAACGAATGAAAATGGGGAACACTTAATCGAATTCTGTGAACAGCACTGTCTGAAAATCCTAAACTGATTCTACCAACATAAAAACATACATAAGTACACCTGGGTTCAACCAATGAGAAACACAAAGTCAATTATAGACTTTGTCATTACAAAACAAGAAACATACATACAACTTGAAGACATATACAACAATATTGATGCACTGCAAAACAACTCGACATCATTCCTATATAAGCTGCGACTTAGCCAAAAATTGGCAAACCTGATCTACTCCTCAGCCCAAAATACCTATAAAGAGATAATCAATAAAATCAATGAAGCAGCTTACGAAGCGCTCGGCACAATCCAAAAGAACAAAAAGAATACTCCATTGTGGTGGACAAATGACATCACCAATGCAGTACACAACAAAAAACAAGCATATCAAAAGTGGCTGCAAACAAATGATCCAGATGATAGACGAACATATGCAAGATCAAACAGAGAAGTAAACAATTTAGTAACTAAAGCAAAAAATATTTTCTGGGAAAGTAAATGCGAAGAACTCAACAAATATATAGGGTCAACAAGATCAAGAGAAGCATGGAAAACGGTAAAAAATCTGAGAACAAACAGAAAAAGAAACGAGTAGAATCGATTTAATAGAAGAAATATCTCGGATAGAACACTACTCACAACTTTTGACTAAAACAAAACCTCAACTCACGAACATCAGTACAACTACATACGAAATGGAATTCAGTGAAGACGATGAAATAACAGTACAGGAAGTCGAGAATGCCATACGAACTCTAAAAAATCGGAAGTCATGTGGATCACAAGGTATACCAAATGAATTATTAAAACATAGTCCATAAGTATTACGGAAATTACTGGCGTATGTCTTCACCTTATTCTATAATGGACACGACTTACCACCGGAATGGACAAAAACACATATTAACAACATCTACAAAAAAGAAGATAGAAAGAATTGTTCAAACTACAGGGGGCTAAGTGTAATAAATTCACTCTCAAGACTGTATGGAAAAATACTAAAAAAAAATTGAAAAAAAGATGACAGATGTAGAAGAACAGAATGGATTTCGTGCAGGCAGATCCTGTATGGACAGTATATTTTCTCTAAAGCAAGTTATCGAGAAAATATTAGCCCACAACCTTTCAACTCATATAGTATTTATAGATCTGACAAAGGCATACGATAGTGTACCACTTTCAATGCTTTGGGTAGCAATGGAAAAATAAGAAATAAGCAAAAAAATATACAAGCAGT